TATGGGTGGGGTGTCAGAGAAGGGCCCCTAGCTAGAATCAGCAGTCACTGGAACAGCCCCAGAGCCTCTGACTGTCACAAGGCCTCAGGCCATTTCCATGCCTGAAGGTGCCAGGGAGTTTACCCTGGCACCCGGGCATCTGGTGACTTTCCCTGTGACTTCCCCATGCCACTACCACCCTCCTGACCCATCAGTCTTTAATGGTCAATGTCACTGCCCAAGGACCAGGTCTGCCTCAGGCCCACAGTGCTTTGTTCTTCAGCCAGGTGGCCAGCCTCTCTCCTGCATGGTGCTGCCTTTCCTGTTGACCTGACTGGGCAGGACCACTCAGCTGGATAGTCTACCTGCCAGAGGGAAGGGGGACAGTGATGTCACATGGTTCCCCACCCCGCTCCTCCCAGGTCTGATCTGTCAAGCCTGGAATCCCAAGTTCAAACAGACCACAGCCTGGGTGTGCAGGATGTGCCTCTGTGGGTTTTGGGTAGGGCAGGAGCCTGGGCAGGTCATGGTGCCTCCAAAGAAATGTTCCCAGGCTGGAGGAAAAAGGAAGGGAGGTGGGGAAGGCCACAGAGGGGTTGACAGGAGGAAACACTTGGACTTTTTTTCTCAAAGACAGAATAAAGAGGGTGCCTATATTTTTCTCTGAGTATGGATATTGTCAGCTTATGTTGAAGTGCCAAGAGAAGGCACAAAAGCTTTAGGAAGAAGGTGAGGAGAACGCGATGTTCTACCTCCCAGGGATGATGTCCACAATTATGAGTCCACCTGGGGCAAGGCGGCCTGGATGAACACTGTGTATAGACTAATCTCCAACCCTTATCTCCTTGCTTTTCCTCATCTGTGAAACAGAGGTGTACCAATCCTCCTCTCGGCCTCCTGACCTTCCCCAGTGCTCCCTCCCTGCCTCCCTTCTTTTTCCTCTAGCCCCAAGGACAATTCCTTGGAGATACCTGACCTGGTCACTCTGGCAGAGAGCATATCCAGGCTGTGGTCTGTTTGAACTTGTGGTTCCAGGCTTAATAAGTCTTGTTTGGGGGGATTGGGGTTTGAACTCAGGGCCTTGTGCTTGCTAGGTGAGCGCTCTACTACTTGAGCTATGCCTCCAGCCTGAGTGATCAGTTCTTGGCACTTAGGATCATCATGAAGATGAGATAAATAACTATATGGAAGGGGTTTCCAACAGGCCTGGTGTGTGGTGAAGGCTGTACAGTGTTTGCTAGCATCAACATCCTCATTGTTATTGTTGTTTTGCCATCACCACCACCACCATCATCACCACCACCATCACCACTACCACCACCACCACCACCACCATCACCATCATCGCCACCATCATCACCACCACCACCACCATCACCACCACCATCATCACCACCACCACCATCACCACCACCACCACCACCATCACCACCACCACCACCACCACCATCATCACCACCACCACCACCATCATCACCACCACCACCATCACCACCACCACCACCACCATCACCACCATCACCACCACCACCATCATCACCACCACCACCATCATCACGACCACCACCATCACCACCACCACCACCACCACCACCACCATCACCACCACCACCATCACCACCACCACCACCATCACTACCACCACTACCATCATCACCACCACCACCATCATCACCACCACCACCATCACCACCACCACTACCATCACCACCACCACCATCATCACCACCACCACCATCATCACCATCACCACCATCACCACCACCACCATTATCACCACGATCACCACCACCACCACCACCATCACCACCACCACCATCACCACCACCACCATCACCACCACCACCACCATCACCACCACCACCATCATCACCACCACCACCATCATCACCACCACCACCACCATCACCACCATCACCACCACCACCATCATCACCACCACCACCATCATCACCACCACCACCACCATCATCACCACCACCACCATCACCACCACCACCACCACCATCACCACCACCACCACCACCACCACCATCACCACCACCACCACCATCATCACCACCACCACCATCACCACCACCACCACCACCACCACCATCACCACCACCACCATCATCACCACCACCACCATCATCACGACCACCACCATCACCACCACCACCATCACCACCACCACCACCACCATCACCACCACCACCATCACCACCACCACCACCATCACCACCACCACTACCATCATCACCACCACCACCATCATCACCACCACCACCATCACCACCACCACTACCATCACCACCACCACCATCATCACCACCACCACCATCATCACCACCACCACCATCACCACCACCACCATCACCACCATCACCACCACCATCACCACCACCATCACCACCACCACCACCATCATCACCACCACCACCATCACCACCACCACCATCACCACCATCACCACCATCACCACCACCACCATTATCACCACGATCACCACCACCACCACCACCATCACCACCACCACCATCACCACCACCACCATCACCACCACCACTACCATCACCACCACCACCATCATCACCACCACCACCATCATCACCACCACCACCATCATAACCACAACCACCATCACCTCCATCACCATCGTCATCTTCACGGACAGTTCCTTATGCACCAACCTGCCCTCCTCCTTGCCTCCCTTCCTCCACTTTATCCATCCGTCTATCCATCCAATATTCTCTGATGGGAACACGCTATGTGCTCTTTGACCCCCTACTTTTTACCTTCCCTATTACATTTTAAAGGCGTGAACATATTTGGATCAATAACTGTTGTTAGAACAAATGACTTAGGTCCTGGGTAATGGGTGTGGGTTGAGGTGATGGAAAAGCCATCCCTGAGTGCTGGTTTTTGGGTTCTGAGCTCATGGGAACCTTAAGGTTTAGCCTTAGTGCTTTTAGGTATAATAAACTCTGTAGATCTATAACATTTAGAATCAAATGTGTTGGCAGTAAGAAAGCTCATTCCAAAAAGACCTTCCCAATCAACAGTAACCAAATAAATGTTTATTCTGTTTTTATATCCCCATCTTCCTAATCAGGATAGAGGCTCCTGGAAGCAGGGACTGTGTGTCCCCTAAGCCCTGGTCAGACTGGCAGTGCCCTGTAGGGGGTGTTTTTCCTCTCTCCATCTCCACAGGCCTCTCAGACCTGTGGGCAGGGGAGTTCTGGGTGTGTGTCCTTTGTTCCAGTGTGTACAGTGGCCACCTGTACACCAGAGAGGATGGTGTGGCTAAGGAGGTGTGTCCTGGGAGGGATCACCCTTCTCACCATGCTGATGCCCAACATGAAGGGGACATGTCACCTGCAACTGACCATCTCCACTCAAAGATCTTGTGGTCCTCTCTTGTTTAGCAAGTCCAATGCAGAACTACCAATCCCCCTGTTCACCCTGCTGGTGCATCTCTCTGACAATGGCACCATCCTTCTGGTTGCTTAGGACCAGACATTGTTGACCACTTTCTCCCATGCCACCTCCAAGCCATCAGCAAATGCTGAAAGTTCCATCTTCAAGATGTGTTCAGAACCCAGGTGTTCTTACCACTTCACTGATACTCCTGGAGCAAGGCACCGTCCTCTCTGCCTGGAGGATGGAAGGAGCCACAGCTAATGTTATGCACATTTTACTTAATTAATTCTGTGTGGTGTCTGTCTCCCCTGAATATCAACGTCCTCAGAGCAGGGGTCATGGCCTGTTTTGCTTCACCTGGAGTGCTTAGCACTTGTCAAATGAATAAATGAAATCCACAAACAACCACAGATCAGGCTCAGGACTTGTGGTCCTTCCCTCCCTCCCTCCTTGCCTTCCTCCCTCCCCCCTCCCTCCCTTCCTCCCTCTCTTCCTTTCTTTCTTCTTTCCTTCCTTCCTTCCTTCCTTCCTTCGTTCCCTCCCCTCCATTTCCTCTTTTAGGGGAGGTCTTGATATGTATCCCAGGCTACCCTGAAACTTGAGCTACTCCTGCCTCAGCATCCTGTGTGCTGGGATTACAGGCATGCACACCTGGTCAGAAGAGGGTTTTTCAACAAGGTACCAGCACTCCACTCCCCCATCCAAGGCTTAGAACTCCTTGTCAAGTTCCCTTCCCTTTGGCTGGCCATGGTGCACACTGGAGCTGGCTCTGCCTCCTCTGAAGTCTGGACACCATGGCATCATCCCACTTTCTGGGGTCATCTAGAATGGTGAGTCAGGGAGGCCTCCATTCTAGCCAGGGCTCTCCCACTATCCAGCAGTGTAATCTGATACATAATTCTCTTACTTGTCAAGTGAGGGGACCAGGCTGCTAGAATTTCTCTTAGGCACTGTGCTAAACCTCTCCACACACGCCCAGTGGAACAGCTGCCATCATACACACGGGGAGACAGCCAGAGAACTTAAATAACTCAATGCCCACCAGTGGCTGTAAGAGACAGAGCCAAATCTGTAAGAGATTTGAACCCTAGCAGTCTGACTCTGCTGAGTGTGAATTGCCTCCTGATCTCTGCACATGGGAGATCAGATCTGTGGACTGCTTAGCTGGCATCTGGCACATAGTCAGCCCTCAGAAATGCTGATGTTGCCACAGTGTGGGCTCAGGTAGGCAGAGTCTGAGGTTGGAGGCAGAGTTGGATGGCAGGGGCAGGTAGGGGGAATGGGGTCTCAGTGACTCCCTGTTGGAAGCTGAGCCTGGCTCAGGTCCCACCTCTAAAGCCCCCTTTGCATTCCCTCAGAGGCCTAGACCACCTCCTCCCTGGCCTCCTGGATGGACAACCTATGACTGAGGAGGACTGGGCGTGGAGCCAGGAGGTGGGGACCAGGCTCTGGGAGGCTAACCAGGTCGCAGGGTGAAATTAAAAGGGAGGAGGAGAGCACCAGCCCATCAGAACTCACGCCCCTACCTGGCAGCCAGGTGTCCAGGAGAGGAGCCGGGAGCCGGGGCGTGTGGCTGCCGGCACCTGTACTGAGCTTAAAGGCTGGGAGCTGGGCACAGGATGGCCTCGCAGAAAGCTGTGAGGCTGTCTTTGAAGAAGCCCACCTATGCCGTGTGTGTGGTGGGAGTGGAGACACTGGTGGACGTCCACAGGTGAGAGCCGGGGGCACCCTTCTTGCTGTAGAGTGCTGTGCTCTTATGGGGGACCCTGAGGCAATTGGGTGAGCACGGGGAGCACACCAGGCTCGGCAGGGGGATGGTGGCAGGAGGTTGTTTTGCAGTGGAGAAGGTGGAGTTGGCTGTGGACTCAGGGAGGGAGGGACTAGGGTCTGATCAGGTGCACCCACCAGGCTCTGGCTCCCGGGGCATCAGAGTTGGGACATTAGCCTACAGTCTCTGGATAAGGATCTGCCTCTGGCCCTTGGACCAGGCTCAGGGGTCTGGGCTCTGGTTCTCAAACCCAAGGGGAGCATAAGAGGGAATTGTTGGTTGAGATGAGGAAGAGAACTTGGCCTTCCAAGTTCTTCCATCCCTCAGTTTCCTGTCGACTCCCTGTGTCTCTGCAGTGAGGAGGCCACCCAGGTGCAACTAGGGTGACTGGGATCATGACGAGTTATTAGAGAACACTCAATGGCTTAATCTATGAAGCCAGGCTGGAGCAGAGCCGGGGACTTGGGCTTGCCATGAGACAGTGATGACAATGATGGTGGTGGTGGTAATGATGGTGACGATGACAATGACTGTGATGGTTGGCAGTGATAGTGTAAGTCATCATGGGTGTCAGTCATGGCATTAGCTTCTCCTATTACCCCAAATCTTTCCTGTCCTGGTTCTGTCTAGATGGGGATCCAGAGACTGGGCTCAGTGTGTTCCCACCTGGCCACTGAGCAAGGTGGACTTGGTGGTCTCTGTCACCTCTCCAGCTCTGGTGGACTGACTACCAGCTCCATCATTGCTGGTGGGGGCCCAGGGTGGGAAGCCCCTCTCCACGAGGAGCTGGTAGCTGGAGGTCATTAACAAGTTGGATCTGAGCTCCCATCACCCTGTTAGGTCTCAGCCCCTGTGGTTACTCAGTCTGGTGAATGAATGCCACCCACCCACCTACCTGGCCCCAGATGAGCCACTGCCTCAGAAGACTTCCCTGTCCTTCTCTTGGGTAGTGGCCTGGGGCCCCAGGGACAGGAATGTGAAGGAAGAGCCAGGAGCCCTGGTGGTCAGACCTTCACTCTAAATTGCTTTGGAGGCTGGTTCTCTCGTATCTGTGTGGCCAGTGGGGGTCCCATTTTCTCCTGCCCTTTTAGCATGGGCCTATCAGATTTAGTGACTAAAAATACAGGATGCCCAGGTAAGGCTGAATTTCAGATAACCAACAATGTGTGTGTATTTATGGTGCTAGGGATTGAACCTAGGGCCTAGGCATGCTAGGCAAGTACTCTACCACTGAGCTGCACCCCCAGTTCAAAACAACTTTCTTTGTGGGTTTCACAGAACACACTTATGCTGCAGAAGGAGTCTGACATTTTAGCTGGAGCACAGATGCATAAGGCAGCCTGCACCAGGCTGAGTGTCCAAAACCCTGCGTGTCCTCCAGGGTAGCCTGGCTCAGATGAGGGGTGAAAGGAGCTGCCTGTGCTCTGGTGGCTGCTGTCCTCTGACTGGCACTGGGAGGGGACACTGCTCCCAGATTCTGAACTGACACATAGGGGACTAGCACCCTGTAGCCTCAGAGAGATGCACCCTGGGCAGGCGTTGGGGTGACTAGCATAACAGCTACCGAGAGTCTAAAGCAGAGCAGCACGAAGGAGGCGCCTCCTGCCTGGGAGGTCTGCCCCGGGTAGGAAAGGAAGGAAGGAAGGAAGGAAGGTAGTGTGGAGCTGTCAGGCCAGGAGGATTTCAAGGCGTCCAAGGTTCATGCAGGGCTGGGCTGGCCAGGGGGAAGGGCTACACTTGGTGATGAATGATGAACTTGAGGCTCTCCCACCCCCTAACCCATGCCTGGCTCAGCCAAGGCCCAGCAAGGGGCTTCTAATGGACCTTGCTAGAGGAGCAGGGAAATCCCCCAAAGAGGAGGTACGCTGGTCACCTGAGCTGCCTGAGTCTGAGTCCTTCAGGGGAGGTCCATGTATGAGTGAAGTCACAGGAGATGATTAATTCCCCATGGGCTGTGTGGATTGGTTAATTGGAGACGTATTTGTGTTTGGGGTAATTGTATGCCATGGGGTAACCCAGCCCAAGGAATTCTTAGGGATCCCCTGATTCAGCAGGCACAGGAGATCCAACCCTGGCCCCAGTGGTCTTGCTCACCACCCTGACCTTCTTACCCTGACTATACCACTCCAACTCCCTGGATCCTGCCAGACTTCCCTGGCTGTGGCCTTCAGGTGGCCCCGAGAAGCTCATGCCTATAAAGGGGTGGGCAGTGTGGGGGATCCACTGGTGGTCCGGCATGGCACTCCTTGTTTGTTCAGAGGTCAGAGTCAGGGTCTGGGAGTGAGGCCATATGCACATTTGTTCTTCAAGGTGGAGAATGCTGGCTGGGCAGGGGAGAGGAACATCTTCTGGAGTTTTCCCAAGTCTTTTCACACCTTCAAAACAGACTCTTCAGGTCTGAAAGTGGTGGGCTTTAGGAAATACAAAGGCAGAGGGGAAGCGGCCTCCCAGAGAGGCCTAGGCCAGAGAATTTTCTGAGGTTCCCTGAATTTCAAAAGCCAAAGCAGTGTTCTAAGACCTGTGTAGGTGAATGCTTCTGTTGTTTACACGGGGTAAATGAATGCTTTTGCCTTACACAGAAGTACAACGAAACATAATTGGGCTCCTCTAGACATAATTATGGGATTGACAGGGACACTAATTCTCAGTGACAGGCTGTGGATACTGGGCTGGGGCACCCTGTCTCCCTGCCCCATCCTGTTGCACATCCCTGTGGCAGGAAGGACGCCTTTATTTGACAGTGACAGCCAAAGTTTTAGTTTGAGGAAGGATTTTGGGAAATATGAGACTAGAGGAGCCTCCATAAACAACCCCCTGCCCCCAACACCCGGAGGCCCTGGAGGCTGCAGTGTCTGACCCGGAAATGGGAGTGTGGGCTTCTTAAGAGATAAAATATTGGCCCCAGAGGTCAGTCCCTCTGATGCTACAGACGTCTTTGCTTCCCTGAGTCCCAAGTGCCACCAGCCATTTTGAGACGGGCTGGGATTCCCTCCCTCCCTTGTTCTGCCCCCTCAGCAAACCGCCCCGCCGCTTACCATGTTTCTGTTCCTGACCCTTCTTGGGTTTGTCTCGGAATCACTTGTCATTCTGCCTGCTTCTCTTCCCTTTTCAGCTTCCATCACTTACAAGTGCCAGTTCTTCTCTTCCTCCCTGGTCCCCATCCTTTTCCTCCTGAAGAATGGCTGGGGTCAGCCAGGCGTAGCTCCTGTATCCTGAGTGGGTGGACCTGAGAGAGGGTTCCACACGGCTGTTTGCCTGAGATGTAGATTGTGCCTCTTGCCCTACCCCCCGACCCCATTACCTTCTTCCCCCGCTGTGGCCCCTCCAGCTCTGGCCTGTCCCACTCCTCCGGGGATGGGGTGGGATGCTGGCTGGAAGATAACCACAGCCACTTGAGGGGAGTCTGGAGGGGAGTCTAGCCATAAGCAGGAAAAGCCAGGGGAATTCCAAAGCTGCTACCAGGTGGTGCCCAAGCCCTCCCTCAGGCTGGTGCTGAGGAAGCTGAAACCTATGGATCTCAGCAGGCCTGGCCTCTCAGGTGGGACAGACCTACATTTGGGTCTCCAAAGGCACCCTGAGCCCCAGACCCTGAAACCCGGTCACTGTGCATTGGAGTCCAAGGCCACTCAAAGCAAGGGCCTCTCTATCATACCTTTCTGGCCGAATCCATGACCCTGTCATCCTCATTGCAGGTCTCAGGCCCCATCCTAGACAGCCAGGCCAAGCAGGATCCTGCAGAGAGCATGGCTGGGGTGTTGTGAGCCAGGCTGATTGTCAAGGCTCTGCACACCTGGGCTTAGCAAGGAGGAAGGAGGACTGAGCTCTCTCCTCCCCCATATCCCCAACACAAAGACACCACCCCAACTGGGCTCCCGAGGCGGAAGCTCCTGGGAGTTCAGGCCATCTGGCAGCCAATTCAGTGATTGCTCAGAGTAAGATGGTGGTAATCATGATCTCCTAGGGTCTGGCTGGTCCTTGCAGGCTGTGTGACTGTAGGCCAGTCACTTAGCCTCTCTGAGCCTGTTTTGTTTTTCTTTTTGTTTTTTCTGCAGGCTAGATGGGGATGACATCATCTATTGCTTGTACCTGTGCAGCTGGTGCCTTTTTTCCCCCTATTTTGTTGATAAGAAATTTCATAACCCACAGAGCAGAGTACGTTGAGAAGAGGAAAGTGACTCATGACTGACTTTAAATTCAGGGCCCTCTATCTCAGGGTGTTCTGGTTCCTATCCCTTGCCTGCCTCCACTGGGAAGGCCAGGGAGTGACAGCTGGCCTGTCAAGCTTGGTCCTCCTCCTGGGTCCCTGGGTGGACCCCTCCTGAGCAATGACAGGGTGTGAGGCATCCACAATCTATCGATTGCTGTCTCAGGTGAGGAGAGGACACGGTCACACCCTGTGTGTGTGCTATGAGTTCTGCATCTGCCATGGCCCACTCCTGACCTCTGTCAGCCACAGCCAGTCAGGGAAGGACAGAGGGAAAGGTTGAATCCTGGTTGGGAGCCTGGGGGCCGAGTGTCTGAGCTGCACTTTCAGCTACCAGCACCTATACCCCTCTGTTGAAGGGCGTCTGCAGTCATTTAATCCATGCTCTGTGTACCTGCTCTGCGACCCCCTGCTGAGCTCTGGTGCCGGGAGCCCACCATAGGCTGTGCCCATCTGGGAGGAGCCCCTGTCTCAGCAGGAGCGAAAAAATTTCAGGAGGCTGGTTTTAGGGACCGCACACCTAGTCTGGTTTCTTTAGAGGGGGGCAGCAGCTGTCATCCACAGACCCATCATGTCCTCGCTAGAGGATCTGTCTGTCTGTCCCCCACACCTTTCAGTACCCTTCATGGCAGTGAGGATGGGAGGGAAGCAGCGCTGTCAGCTACGTCTCACAGCAAGCCTGTGAGGTGGGGATGGATGAGACCCCCCCCCCACTTGCTGACAAAGAAACCCGGATGCA